TAAAGCTGTGAAGTGGATGGTGACAGCGTGTATCGCAGTCGTGACTTGTCTCAGGTTTATCCTTGTATTTCCCTTGAGTTTTATTATATAATAAATGGTAAAAGAAAGCGCATTATTAATATGTTAGTGAACCAGCCTGAAGCTGTGAGGCCCAACAGAGCAAAGCTACTGCCCAGTGAAACGATACGAAATTTGGATCTTTGGAACTGCCCTTAGGATAGTACTGCAGTGCTCCGGAGACATGGCTTCTCTAGCCTCTGCATTGATACCCATCAGCAAGAGGACCTTGAGACTGGACTTAGTGCCTCTGGCTTCAGTGACTGTTGAACTTCTGGCACCATTGTTGAGGTCACACATGCCTGCCTGTCATCACTACTGCTGGTTGGCACTTCAAGGACCTTCTGGAATTCCACCAGTGCCATCCCTCTGGCTTGCCACAACTGAAGGACTTGATTGCAGTCGTGGGTTGAGCCTGCAATGCTTCAGAAGCATCCTCACCAGAGAAGACTCCACACTGGAACCCTGCGGCAGCATTTTCTGATCAACTAAGGGTTCCTTGCTTGGTGAGATGTTTGTCTAGCTTTTATATTAGCATGGTATTATAATGAATGCTTATGTGGAGTAAAAACAAGAATATTTGTTGTTTTTTTTTTTAAATAACTTATCTAACTTTATTTTTATGTGCATTGGTGTGTTAGTGTCAGGTCCCCTAGAACTGGAGTTACAGACAGTTGTGAGCTGCCATGTGGGTTCTGGGAGTTGAACCTAGGTCCTCAGGAAGAGCAGTCAGTACTCTTAACTGCTGAGCGGTCTCTCTAGTCCGAACAAGCATATTTGAAAGACAAATCTTGTGTGGATACCCTAACTGCAGAGCACCTCACAGACCACTGGCTGTGCTGTGTGTTCTAACCTCGTTGTGCTGTGCATAATAAATTGGCTGAATTTCCTGGTCGTTTCATAGGTACACTCCATCAGAGTGAGCACACAGCCCACTGCATTCCAGCTTTTCTGTATGGATATGTGTCCAGGTGCCAGGACCAAGCCATGCAGGACATGGCATCTAGCCTAGCTCCCGTCACTCTCCATGTTTCCATAGTTTTGCTGGGCTACTGAACTGGTTCAGGGCCTTCTTTGAGGCACAGAGCAGGCAGGGGAGGAGCAGGTGCTGACTTCAGAAGCAGAAGGTAGACTTCCTGGGAAGTCAGGGGATCTGCTTCTGTTCTGTGAGGTGGGGTTGAAGGAGCTCAGAGAAGAGGTCCAGGACCTGGCATTCCCCCGATTTCTGGGCCTCAGTTTTCCCACCTGTAAATTGGGCCCAAGAGTTGCTGTCTCCCAGGGTAGAGGGAGGATCCAGTGTGAGCTGTGAATGCTTGTCTCCAGGTGAAAGAGGCTTGGTTGTCATGGAAGGGAGCCTCCATGTCTACACAGGGTGGAGGGGTCCCTGCGTTCAGTCACCGAGGAACAAAGGAGCACATGCCTGAGCACTGATAAACCAGCAGGCAGCTGGCTGAACAATCTGGGAGGCAACCTTGACTTTGCCCAAGCCCAAGACAGAAGCAACCTGCAGAGATGGACTCCCGGGAAAGCCCACACCCTGGGAGAGATAGTGTTGGCAAGAGTGGGGACAGTTAGGGTGCCTGAGGGGCCCCCTCTGCTAGGCAAGAAGCTGAAGGGAGCAGGTCAGTGGTGATTTAGTCTGGCGTGTGTGGTGAGAAGAGGGAGGAAAGCCTGTCTTCGGGGCAACATAGGACTTCCCACCATTGCCAAGGCTCAGCATCGCTTTTGGAAGAAGGTTCCCCAACCAGGCAAATCCTATTTGCTCCCTTGAGGGACCTCATGGCAGCTGTTCTGAGTGGGATCTAGGGAGGATCTGTGTGCTGTGGGACCTAGCCTGTGCTGTGGGCACACTCACACAAGCGGAGTTGGCTCCCAGAATTTTGGGGGTATGCACTGGTGTGTGTATGTATGTGTGTGTGTGTGTGTGTGTGTGTGTGTGTGTGTCTGAGTGTGTGTATGTGTGTGTGTGATGTGTTGGAGGCTTGAACCCAGGGTCTGGTGCATGGGAAGTCATGCCATAGCACTGAGATCTGTGTAGGCCTCTCTGGGACCGTTGAGGGGTCTTCAGTGGGGAGGTTGAAGATCAGGTCTTCTAGTCTCAGGCAGAAGCAGGCTGCTGGGCTGACCTGAGTGGAGAAGGCGGGTGGGGCTGACTGGATTGGAGGTAAAGTGAGGAGCACAGGGAGGACGGAGGATGTTGCTGTCTCTGGCAGGAGGTCCTTCAGTGCACAGACCCCTTAATGCCCTTTGTGCTTTCAGCAGGGACGGGACGCATTCAGGCCCTTTGCTGGCAGTGTCCATATGTCACCCCTGGGACTTTTGGGATCATGCTCGCTCGTGGAGGGAGGAGCGGGCCCTTTGGAAGAGGGTTTCTGAAGATTCAACTAGGATCAGGTCGAGGGCTCGAGACACAGGGTATGGGGCACTGTGGTCACCACAGCCACAGTGGCGGGCAGGGGCAGTGGCGGGCAGGGTGGAGAAGGCGGGGCATCTCGAAGTAGCTGAGCTGGGACCAGTGGCAGCTGCAGTGTGTCCATGGGGCTGGGGCACAGTTGGCACAGTTGGCCGGGTGCGAGGCTGCTCCAGGTCTCTTTTCCGCAGGAGGAGCGGGAGCAGATGCTGCTCCCCACGAGGGTTGTCATTCCTCCCGCATTGGAGAAAGGATACAGGCCCGCCAAGCAGCCAGAGTACCTGTCCCGGTCCCCCACGTGGCAGGTGACCAGGACGCAGACCTGGCGGCGTCCCCAGCGCCGCCTGCACCCCCAGGCGGTCCCGGGGTGCGGAGCTCAGGGGCGATGTCACTCAGCAACGTGCAGCCCCGGGTCTGTGCGCCCGGCCACTGCAGGGACACTCGGGGTGGTGTGATGACAAAGGAAATGAGGGGAGGGTCGCCCCGCGGGTCTACAGTCTCTGATCTGGGGCAGCAGTTGGGCAGGGGGGAGGCTGCGGCCGCAGGACACACGCGACAGGTGCTGCGGGTGGGCAGCGGGGAGGGCGCCTGGCGGCCAGCTTCCCAATCGACCCCGCCCCTCCCCCGCTGTACGTGGCTCAGACACTTGTAGGATGAGAGCAACGGGCTAATTTTATCCGACTCAGGCTCAGCAGGAAACCGACGCTGAGGCGGGGGTAGTTCTTCCGGGCAATCAGCCCGGGAAGCCTGAAGCGGGGAGCAGAGGGGGAGGGCGTGGGGCGTCTTGGTCCGGGTCGGGGCGTGGTGGTCCCTGTCCTGTCCCCAAGAGGACCTAATTTTGGCGCCAAGATTGGTATGCAACAGGTCACTTGGGCCCAGAGGAGGAAAAGATATCTTGCAAAGAAGATAGTACAAATTCCTTCTTGTGTCTTAATCATTGTGTTTAATTCTATTCCTTTCATACCTTGAGTTCTTGGGCTCTGCAGCGTGCCAGACACACAGCAGGTCCCTAGGAAACATTGCTGACACTGATATGACCAGAAAAACCAGACACGAAGCTGTGTGTCTGGTGACCACTAGAGAGAGCTGAAAGGCAAGCATCTAAAGGCCTTTGAAGCGCAGCCTCCTCAGTCCTTGCAGGAGGTAGGTATCCAGCCCCTTCCCTTTTGTTTTTCTGGGGTCTTGCTATGGTTCAGCTTATTAGAATTTCACAACTTGCTTCAAGCTTCTTGTTCTAAGTAGCGCCCACCCTCTCCTGGTACCAGCTGTCAGAAACTGGGGATTTGTAATCCCTGTCAGCTGGCCTGCTCTGTTTCTGTGGAGAAGTGGTAGGGAGCTGCTGGCTGCCTTTTCAGACATGAAAAGGCCCTGGGGGAGAGCATATGCTCATAAAAAATTATAGGATTCTACAGCTTTGAAATCTAATGATCCTTAGTGATCAAACACAGACTGAGCCCTGGGGGGTCTGGAGGAGGCACTGAGGGGGCAGAAGATCTTGGGTGAGAGAGCCTGGGGCCTGGCATCGGGACAGAGTAATTAGCCTTAGTGGGAGGAGGCCAGCGGCCCGAGGGTGTCTGCACTGAGCAAGGAGAAACAATAGCCAAGAGCTGGGTGGTAAACCATCCTCTCTCAAAGGACACCAGTTCCTGCTTTGTCGCTGTTCTGTCCAGCACAGGGACAGAGGGAGCTGGATTTTATTAGTACCTCTTGGGTTGTTGGGAGTGGAAGGACATTTGATTGAATCAGGTTTCCAAGGCCAAGGCTGCACAAAGGTGACTGGGAGGGAGACAGAACACCAGGCCTATGTGTGGGTTGGGAGCAAGGATAATGCTGAAGAGATTGGGGTGTGCTGAAAGTGAGATTTCGCTCCACTTTTACTTTTGCTCTGAGCTAGTGCTGTTGCTGCTCCTTTAGGAATGAGCTTGCTGCACAGTGAGTGAGGTGGGCATGTCCTCAGTTTGCTCTGTCCCCGATGAGCTGTGAATCTGTACGAAGAACCCCTCTCCTAGCTCTAGCCTCACTTTCCCCATTTAAAATCAAGATAAAAAACGAAGACTAGGTTTGCTCCTAGCTTTGACAATCTTGTCTCTCTCATGGATCACCTTCCACTCCAGCCTCTCTGACTGTGGCGTTGTGTAGCTGAGATATACCAACCTCTGTAAGGACCCCAGCAAAAAAAAAAAAAAAAAAAAAGGAAGACAGCTGGGGGTTCTCTGTATTTGCGGATTTGCTGTGTGGCACTTTTCTATCAAGGTGGTGGCCTAGCCTTGACGGGGCCTCCATTCCAGCTCAGCCAGTAATTATGTCCTCATTTTGTGAAGTAACCACGTCCCCCATTAAAGAGTACCATCGAACATTTCAGTCTGAAACAGTTTTCCCCCCAGTTCCTCTCTTCCACTGTCAGCTTTCCTGGAGTGCAGAGAACCAGACAGAAATACTGTTTGGAATGAAACTTCAGTTGTGAAGCCAAATTTTCTGCTGTCAACCAGGTTAAAGCTATGGCACCCTTGTAGACAACATACATACTCAAACCAAACGTTTAGATCTGTTTATTTTGTTCCAAACCCCTTGAGGATTTAAATGTCCCAGGTCTCAAGCTCTGAAATTTGGTTTGTTCTTTTTGTTTTAACTGTGGTGCCTAAGAGGCTACTTCCTATTCTAAATATTAATACTGTGATGCCTGGGCCAAACAACAGTCTCTCGGAAAGCACACAAGCCCACATGCGCGCGCGCGCGCGCACACACACATACACACACACACACACACACACACACACACACACACACACATGCGTGAGAAAAAAAATTGATACCCTGCCAATGTTAGGCGACACCTGAATGGGCAGATTTGGGACCTGTGAATGTCTTTCCTCCATCTGGAGAGAAGTGAGTGGCAGCCTGACTCTTAAGAGCTATCCAGCCATGGGTAACAAAAGAGGCACTGCACGCTCATTCCCCCCCTCCCCAGCCCTTCACCCCAAGTGGCTTGGAGGGGGTGGGGCGTGGGGCAAGGACGAATGGAAGCCGAGGCATTGCAGCTCCGATGTTTTCAATGGCCTCTCCTGGGAGTCACAGGGCTCCTGGGGCCCAGTTTCTCCTGTTGCACAGATGCTTGAGCTGACAGGACAGTAACTCCACCCCTTCCTGTCCTCAGAGCCAAGAACCAATGGGTTTTCCTTTGGGGAGTTGATAAGAGCTGGACTGGGACCAGCGGAGGGGGGCTCAGGACTTTGGCCTTGAATGAAACATCAGAGGCCAACTATGCCCCAGCTGCCTGTTAGTAACGGAAAAACTCATGTGTGGGGACCATTGTATTCTTTGGAGCCCCTCAGAGCAACCTCATCCTCCTGGCCTTGGGATGACCCTGGCTTGGGGTGGCAAGTTATTGTTGGGTCCAAGTAACAGCCAGGGATGCCTGGCAAAAGATGATGAAAGGGTGGGTACAGGAACACAATAAACAAAGGCTTAGAGAAGAGAGAGAGACACACACAAAGACAGGGAGGAGAGAGGCTGAGTTCCTAATGAGGTGAGCTGTGCAACTGGACCAGGCTGGCAGTGCCCTTTGCCTCTGGCCAGGGGCACTTGGAATGCTCTTCAGTAAGACTGTTGCCCAGAGCCTGGGTGTAGGGCAGTATCTGGCACCAACTTCAAAGGGATGATGGTGGTCCAGAACTTCCTTTTTCTGGCACCTGTAATACCCACTCAGTAGAGTGGCCCAGGATGCCTAGAATGGGGGACAGACTGGGTGGTAGAGGCTAGGGTGGCTTCCCCTTCCGAAAAGAAATTGTCCAACCCTAGGTGCAGTTGCTGCCTATGTCTTTTTGGGACAGGTACACAATGAGGTTTTTCTCCTTTTCTTTCTAAGTTCATTTCCTGGCCTGGCCCAGGTGGAAATATTGACCTGTTACGAAAAGTGAGAGATGGAGGAGTTGGTCCTTCACCAAGTCGTTAACCATCGCAACATCCCCCATCATGCCAGTGAACTGTCATCATTCCTCCTGTGTCTGATGAGATGAAAGGAGTTTCTTCACATTTGACAGGTGGCTACAAGGATGGGAAACTGGGAAGGCCTCTTGGTTCATCTGTCCAAATCAGTGATACACGAAACTCTGTAGTGTTTAAGATCCCTTCCCTATGTGATAGCCTGCTCTTCCAGTCTATAATTATATATCAGTTTGAGCCCAAAAGTGAGATGTAGCTCCGCCTGAGATGAGCAGGATTAGTGCTAGTGTTCGGGATGGTCTGGGCCAAAATGAAGCCAATTGGCCCAAGCTCTGGGTCCCTCCTTTCTTCAAGCACCTATGTGTCTATGACAGTAAGAAGAAATAGAGGGGAAGAAGATAGAGAGGAGGCAGTAGAGAGAAAAGAAAAGGAAGGGAGAGGGAAACAGATGGTTCACAACAATTTCACGGGGTTCCGCAGAGCCCTTAGGAGCGTCAATCCAAAACAAGGTCCTTGTCTCTTTTGGCCTTCCTGCCCACAACTCCCAAATGGCTCCCAAGGATGGATGGCAACAGATTCCTCAGCAGAGGCTTGGGTCTCTCCCACTGGGTTCTGGGGACACAGTAGCACCTTTGGCAGTTGATTGTAGTGGGTAACTAACAAGCTGGGGCCAGAGGTCCCATTCTCCTCCTCCTCCCCCCAGGGGGATAGAAAGTATATGGAGAGGATCCAAAGGCCAAGGGGGTGATCCCACATTTTCCCAGATCCTGGAAGAAGGGCCTGGCAAGTTTCAAGGCATTCACCGGGGAGAATTTGGTTAACGAGTTTGGAACACTGAGAGTGTTGGCTCAGAGGAGATGGTCAGGTGGCTGAAATGCTGTGTGTACAGGGTTGGGAACAAGTGTGCTGGTGGCAAAAATGTAAATGCTGAGCAGGGGAGAGTGGAGGGGCGGGGCGGGGCGGGGCGGGGGAGCACACCATGGCAAGACAGAGGCGTTAAATCGGCTCTTCAGGAGCTGGGGAGCCGGGCAGCAGTTCTCCGTTGGGGTCCGGATCGTGGGACAACATCTTATCCTTGCTGGAATCTCTCTGCTCTTTCTTGAACATCCTTTGATGCATCAGAGGGACAAAGAAGAGGATTACAGCCCCAATGATGGGGGGGACACCGGCAAAGTAGAAGGCCACATGGTAGTCACCAAAGCAGTTTCGAAGAAGGCCTGAAAGGGTCAAGAGACATGAGCTTAGTTTAGCTTTTCTCTGCAACCCCGAGATGCTCTCTCTTCTCTTCTGGGGGTCAAGCCAGTGCCAATCAAGAGTGTTGGCCTGTGCAGCCCTAATTCAGGAGCTCCTTCAACTTCAAGGCTAAATGCCTCTGAGGTGAATATCATTAGCAAAGACGCTAATGAAGCTTCTTTTAAAGTTTCCGTGTTTGTCTTTCATTAAGCTAAGAGCCACCTTTCAGTCACTCCTAGGGCTGGAGTTACAAAGGAATTGAGTTCAAAAGACTCAAGAGAATGGTTCACGGTGGAAGTCCCCAGCCCCCTCCTTCCCACCCTTATATTGTTCTTGTGGAGCAATTCAGCTGAATTCCTGTTTTATTTCACATTTATTTATTATTACTGTGTGTGTATGATGTGTGTGTGGGCGCATGCATTGCACGGTGATCATGCAGAAGTTGGAGGACAACTCTACATTCCAGAGATAAAACTTAGACCAGGAGGCTTGCGTGGCAATCACTTTACAGCCCTCCTCTTGGCCTTTTCTCTGAAGTTCCAGTTGCCCTAGGAAGAAGCTGAGCTGAATGTGCCTGTCTGTCTTCTTCCAGTTCATCTACGCATGAGTCCTTTGGGTTCTTCCAGCTACCAACCCCATGGGTGTGTCTGATTTGAGAAGCTGACCTCAGAAGCTAATAGAAGGTACCTCGTTGTGAAGATGAGTCCAGAAATACTACCTAAGAAAGGCCAGAAGATGCTTATCCTTTTGTTTACTCAGGAAATAAGCCAAGTGGACAGAATTGTGCATTCTCTGGCTCTCTTTGGGTGGGTAGAGGCTCCTTTCCTAGTAGTGCTCCCACTGCACCAGAGCCTGGAGTGAAAGAATTGCCACGGTCACACGGTGCTCTCACAATGCCTTGCACCTAATTGGTGTTCAAGGAGTGTTTTGTGAATGCGCTCATTTGACAAGCCCAGGGGAAGTGAACACATGAGCTGAGGTTTGCAGTAAATCCTGGAAAGGAGATGAAGTTCTCTCTTGACTGCTTTTCCGCTTTCTTGTACTCACTATGCTCTTCTGGGAGGGTGGAGGGAGCAGTTTGGATGCTGAGATGTCACAGCAGCATTTTGCCAGCCCTGGAGTATTTCCTTAATTCAATCTCTACTATGGGTTCAGTTCCAAAACCGGTAGAGGAAGAGCAGGAAGTGGAGGGTACCTATAGTTTTAGTAAACCCAGTCAAGCTAACTTTCTCTTTTACCACTTCCTTTACTCAACTACCTTGAAGTTAATCACTTCGTTGTGGAGAGAGTAAAGAGAAACTTGGACCAAAGTCAGTGTGGTGTGCATACCTAAAAAAGTATCAGTACTTGGGTGGCTGAATCAGGAAGATGAAGGATTTGAGGCCAGCTTAGTCTACCGGGTCAGCCTAGGCTGCACAGTGATCGGGAAGGCTACCTTTACTTTTCTTTCTGCTCTCTAGAAGGAGGCACACTGTCTACAATGAAATGCTAGTGAAACGTATACAGCCCTGGACAACCCATGCCCGTGTATTGTTTAATCTCTTCTGTTAGGAGTTTCATGCACTCTAACAAGGATGTTTATACAGAAGATCAAGGGGAAAGAGGTCTCAAGCAGAGGTACTCCAAAGAGCTAGGGGCCTCCCAAGGAAAACAGGACTCACACCTTCCTCAGAGATCAGCCTCACCTGCAATGGGAGGGCCAGCAATCATCGGCAGGGCCATCATGCCCAGGAGGTAGCCAATGGCCTGTGAAGCCTGCATGGGTCCCACCAGCTCAAATGCAATGGGAGCCATGATGGTGATGAAGAAGCCATCACATAATCCCAGGAAGAGGCAGACAACGATAAGGCCCCAGAAGTCCTGGCACAGGGGGATCATCATGGACATCAGGCCCAGGAGCAGGAATGAGAGGACCTAGAGAAACAAGAGCCCGAAATAGTATTTCTTTTCTCAGATCTTCCTTTCTATCGTCTGTAAAATGGGACTATGTGGGGTATCAGCAGAGCGTGCAGTTGGAGTATATTTACTATGTACTCAAGTCCTGTCTAAACCCTTCACTGGGGGATCTGGTCTTTAAGAGAGCGCCTATGCAGCTGAATTTTAAAAAAACAAAAAACAAAATAAACAAAACAAACAAACAAACAAAAACTTGTGAGAGGGGAAGGACATTGCTTTGCCCATAGCCAAAGAAGTTGGTCTTTGCAATGGATGCTGAGCAAAGGGAGGAATCACTATTTCTGCTTTCTGATCCTGAGACAGGGTCTGGGATTAAGCTTTGTTCATGTTCTCAGATCAAGTAAGGCATGGGAGGAGGAAGGGAGAAGGCAAGGAAGGCTTGCATGATGATTAGATGGGGGTTTCGATGCAAAGTGCAGCTTATTAAAATGGAGAAGGAGCCAATATCCATCTTGGTTGGGGTAGAATTTAGAAAATACCCGGGCCTGAGAGAGACCATTGGGAAGTTGTCTCAGGTTTTCTTATGCTTTAGGATATGGCCCACATAATCTATCTCTGATATTTCAGGCATTGTGGCTCTGAGAACCTTTGAACTTGGCAAGACTCTCTGAGAAGGCAACAGAGAGGCTGTGCAAAGGAGCTAAGCCAACATTAAGGTATCTGCAGGGTCCCGAAGCAGCCCAGGAGCACTGACGAGTCACTGCGATTTCTTTGGGCTGAGAAAAATGACTGCAAACTGAAGAACCTGTCTTTCTTCTGAAAACCACCCCCCTTCTCTCTCTGGTTTTTAATTAAGGCCATTTGCAATCAGTGTCTGTGAGCCAGACTGAAGCCTTGGACTGTGGGCATAGAGAGGAGACCCCATTCCCAGCTCACTGCAGCTGGTCGAGCCAGGTCATGTCAGGGCCAGATCTAAGACCTGATCTGCTTACTAAGGCCTTAGGATGCCCACAGATTTTCCAAAAGCCCACAATTGACCAATAGGCAGGAAAACATACCCAGGAACACAGAAGAAACACAAGTCAAATCTGTTTCATGACCTACAAGATTGTCTGTGTTGTTGCTGACAGTAGTTTTGTTAGGTTAGGAACTGGTTTCTGGAGAAGATAATGCCATCTTAGAATGTCTTTGTTGGGTGACTTTGAACTTGGTCCAGGCCATTTTGAGGTAGTTACATAGAAGCTAGTAATAAGAACCGAGCGGCCCCAGCTTCTCCTGTAGGAGGTTGACAAGCTACCATGAGCTAAAATCAGACCCACTTATCAATCAAGGCGATCATGGCAGTTAAGAGTTCGTATCATTATATACCACAAAGGACCCCATTAACTGATCTTATTTAGCTGAAATTGCTAACTGTTGTATCTAGCTCTCTCTTATCATCCTCCACGAGGCCTTGTCAAGGCTTGGAAATTTATAATCCCTCCTCAAACTGGAATGCAGCCTTCAAAAATGGTCTCAAATGAGGTCATTTGGCAGGCTGTTTCTATTTCCTTTTTAACAGACTATTCAGGGGCTACATGTCTGGCATGTTGGTTGGCTTTACTAACTGTAGGGTACCACAGGGTCTATGGGGTGGCTTTTGAGGATCTGAAGCTATGTGCCCTCCTTTCCTTACCCAGGCCTAACTTCTGCAGCTGACACTGAGAGCAAAGGAGGCCACCAATTCCCAGGATGGAGCATCTTGAAAAACTGAAAGGAAGTCAGTGGCACATACCTTTAATCCCAGCACTTGGGAGACAGAGGTAGGCAGATCTCTGTGAGTTCCAGGCCATCCTGGTCTACAAAGGGAGTTCCAGGACAGCCAGAGCTGTTACACAGAGAAACCCTGTCTTGAAAAACCAAAAACCAAAAAAACTGAAAAGAAAGAAGCTCATCCATTGTCTTGTGCTTTGGTCCTAAAAATCTCAATTTTCTTTTTGAAAAGGTGTGTGTGTGTGTGTGTGTGTGTGTGTGTGTGTGTGTGTGTGTGTATTTGTGGGTTCAGATGCATGTGCACATGTAGATATACATGTGGAGGTCAGAGGACAACTCCATATGCCCACCTCAGGAAGGCTGTCTACTTCTTTCGAGAAAGAGATCTTCACTGGCCTGAAGCTCACCAATTAGGCTAGGTTGGCTGGCTATCAGCTCCAGAGACCCTCCTATCTCTCCCTCCCCAGTGATGTGATTCCACGTGAGCATCAACATGTGTGTGCGCACGTGTGCGTGTGCATGCGTGCGTGCGTGCGTGCGTGCGTGCGTGCGTGTGTGTGTGTGTGTGTGTGTGTGTGTGTGTGTGTGTGACAGTGTGCATGTGGAGGTCAGAGGACAACTTTGCAGAGTCGGTTCTCTCCTTCTGCCTTTATGTTGGCCCTGAGGATTGAACTCATGTGGCAAACACCTTTGCCCACTGAGCCATCTTGCCATCCTCTCTTTTCTTCTTGCCAAGCTTTTAAAAACATGGCTTCTGATGGTCAAACACAGGTCCCTATACTTACAAAGAAAGCAGTTTACTGTCTGAAGCATACCCATCCCAGCCCCAAGCCCTCAAAATTCATAAAACGAGGGAGTTAGGCTATAAGGTGGTGAAGATGTCTCAGCTATGTTCTAATGTTATTTTCTATCACTCTAAGTGGTGAAATTGGTCTAGTACAAGGAAGAAAATGGGGGAAGTCAGCAGAAGTCCTGGGCTCTACCTAGCTCAGCCTCATAACTAGCTGTGCCTCCTTGTCCCTTGGAGCTCTAAACAGCACAAAAGAAAGCAAAACCAGCCTAGGCCCTGCCTTTCTGCTGGGAACTGTAGTGACAGAAGCATGTGAGCTACAGCACCAGGCAGAGGCTGCTGCCTCAACGCAAAAGAAACTTCTGGCTCAGTGCCAGCTTGGTCTCATTTTCTGAACTCTCTAGCATCTTGAAGCTGCTGATACTGGCAGGGAAGACCCATGGTGGGGGACATGTGAAAGAGGCTGGAAGAGCACATATACTCCTGTACAAAAAGCCATTCAGATATTTGCACAGGAATTAAATATCTCATAATTTGTTTATCCCAGTTACAAGCCCTTGGTTTGACCTTAGGAAGTTCACTTATCTCTGAGGCTTGGGCCTGCTGTCCATCATTTAGAGAAAGATAGGTATGGTAGTTAGATTTTTTTTTCAACTTGATACAAGTTATCTAAAGAAGAGGGAACCTCAAATAAGAAAATGCTCCCATCAGATTAGCTTTTAGGCAAGCCCATGGGACATTTTTTTGGGGGGAGGGGAATTTAAGACAGGGTTTCTCTGTAAAACAGCCCTGGCTGTCTTGGAACTCACTCTGTAGACCAGGCTGGCCTCAAACTTAGAGATCCACGTGCCTCTGCCTCCCGCGTGCTGGAATTAAAGGTGTGTGCCACCACTACCCTGATGCCTATGGGACCTTTCATTGATCGATGATTGATGTAGAAGGGTCCAGCCTACTGTGTGTGGTATCATCCCTGGGCAGATGGTTCTGGGCTCTATAAGAAAGCAGGCTGAACAATCCAGGAAGCAGCATTCTTCCATGGCCTCTATTTCAGTTCCTGCCTCCAAGTTCCTGTCCTCACTTCTGGTCATGATGGACTATAAGCTGTAAAATAAAATAAACTGTTTCCTCCCCAAGTTGCTTTTGGTTATGTACGGTGTTTGGTTATGTATAGTGTTTGGTTTTGTATGGTGTTTGGTTATATGTACTGTTTGGTCATGTATAGTGTTTGGTCATGTGTGGTGTTTGGTCATGTATGGTGTTTGGTTATGTATGGTGTTTGGTCATGTGTGGTGTTTGGTCATGTATGGTGTTTGGTTATGTATGGTGTTTGGTCATGTGTGGTGTTTGGTCATGTATGGTGTTTGGTCATGTATAGTGTTTGGTGATGTATAGTGTTCAGTTTTGTATGGTGTTTGTGATGCATGGTGTTTGTGATGCATGGTGTTTGTGATGCATGGTGTTTATCTTATCGGTAGAGAGCAAACTAAGACAATTGGCTATGAGAAGCATGCTGCACAGGAGCTCAGCTCGGCCACTTCTGTAGAAGAAGCCGGTCTCTCAGTTTCTCCTTCAGTATGATGCTAGGTTGGCCTGGGTGGACCACAAGGGAACCCATACCTCTGGGGAAGCTGTCACCAGCTCTTGCAACCAGCAGAATTAAATTCCACAGAAAATTATCCATGACACCTGACGGCATTTAGGAACTCATTTGGCACTGCCGAAGACCGCTCTCCACTACAAAGGTCAGGGCCTCTCAGAAGTACCTTCAGGGCTTTCCCAGGAGAGAAGTGAGCCCAAACTCAACCTCTTTCTGGTGGGTAATTTGTGACTGCTTGTGTTCTGTGGCTGCCTTTGCTTTTTCACAGGGCTTTACAGTCTGGCATCTCCTGGCAAGCCTGGTTGCAGGATCAGAACCATGAGCCAGGCCAGGAAGGTACTACTGCTGCTAGGTAGACAAAAAAACTGGCTGTATTCAAACCATCCAGAACCCAGGCCACACAAAGGGATCACTAGAATACCTGGGTACTCACTGCCCACCGTGTGAGGACATCTGTATCACTGTCAGAAGGGCTAAACTGGGTCACCGCTGTATTTGTTTTGATGCTCACTTTTATGATAAGTTAGGAAAGGGGAGAACTATTCTCACTGCACAAATAAGACAGTGAGGGCTAGAGAGAAGGAGTAAGGTTTGTTTTTTTCTGGCATGATTTTGGTGTTCACTGGTAGGATGAAATTTCAGGTTTGTTTGCTTGTTTGAGAAAGGGTATCTTGACATAGCTCTGGTTGTCCTGGGACTTGCTATGTAGATCAAACTGGCCTTGAACTCACAGAGATCTGCCTGTCTTTGCCAGGGATGGCATTGCAGAGCCAGTGCCTGATGCTAACTAAGTAGCTCTGGAAATTCGAGAGGTGACAGACCTGGGCCTGGCCTAGAGGAGAGAGAGGCACTATAGAGTGGTTCAGATTTCAGGATAGCATAGGGAAGCAAACAAATCCTTACTTGGGGACACATCCAACTTGGGGCCTGAGTTTTCCATTTTAATTTGTTGGGCTATTATTAACACACAACTACCTGTTATATGTTCTGCAAGGTTCCATATACACGGCTCTCCCTGACTCTCTACTCTATTTTAGTGAAGGAAGGAGAATAAGGATGATTGTCTTTAAAAGCAGGGGAAACTAAGGCTCAGAGAATTTACCTATTATGCGTAAAGTCGGGGCCCAGAGAACTATAGTGGCCCACCCTACATCCTATCCCAGAGTACAGGGATAACCTATGCTAGGCTGGGGACAAGTGGACACTCACCTGCAAGTATATCTTCTTAAGTCCAGGAATGGAGTCACTGATGTGGCCTGACACAAGACGTCCAAGGCCAGAGGTAGCCCCAATACACACCAAGAGCACCCAGGTCTCCTTGATTTCCTTGAACTCATCTTCCACATATTTCGTCTGAAAAGCATAACACCAGGACCCCCAGAACAGGAGGAGAAAGAGGAACTGACTGGTTAAATGCAGGACTATCCAGAGTTTTCTATCACTTATTTCCCTGGACCAGGACAAGAGTTTCTGATTAGAGTAGCACCTCCCTGTGTCCCCTAGCTCCAGGAAAAGGCCCCTGGTTGCTTCTAGAAACCACAAAGGCTACTTATCCTAGACTCTCTGGAATTTGGGCTTTTGAGAAACAGTCGACAGGGATAGGCACTTCCAAGCCTTCTAAGCCCTGACAGGACAAACTACTTAGAAAATCTAGGTGTTCTATGACATCCCCATGCAATGACTTCAAATTGACAGGCCAAAATATCAGGTCACTAGGAGATAAGGGCCCACCTTTCAGGCAACTCTTTCAAAGTATACTTTAGGAAACACAAGGTCTACAGGCTAGGGCGGTGTAGCTCAGTGGTAGATGACATGCTTGGTAGGGACAAGGCCCTGCATTCCATCCCTAGGGCACCTGCACATCCACACAAAACCTCACAGGCCGCAGAATAACAGCTGCTCTGCAACCAACAGCTCTGTGGCCAAGAAAGTGTGGTGGGTGCTGGTTAAACAGAGCTGAATGGGCCTGTGAACTGCAGGATCTATCACTATCATGAAGAGATTACTACATATGAATCTAGAGATTTCCCATACATGCCATTTCCTGAACAAAATCATTTGACCCCAGAGACCAGCATTCCTCAGAACAGTCTTTACAAACCACATCTTGGGTCATTTGAGCCATTCTTACAGCGATGCTTATTTCCCTCAAAGCCATCTATCCAATTAAACATTTTGTTTTCAGTACTAGGGATTAAACCTAGGGTCCCGTGCATGCTAGGCAAGCGCTCGACCACTGAGCTAAATCCCCAAACCCAAAGCTCTGCCCTTTCAATGTCTCCCCCTCCCCTTGGACTCCGGGTTGGTGGAGGTCAGCTTCTTCCTCACCAGGTGGACATAGGGGACGAAGTAACCAAGGGCGGCGGCAGCGATCCCAAAGGCCCAGATGCGGTAGGTGCGCTGGCGGAACACGCGCATGTTGAAGTACTTCTTGAACTGAGCCACAAAGCGCTGTCGCAGCGTGTGGGGGCCTCTCTTGCTTGGGGTGTCCTGGGAGCTGGGCAGGAGTGGTCGGTAGGTGAGTGAGAGCAGCGTCAGGATAAACATGAAGGTACTCAGCACCTGGAAGGTTTGGGCCAGCTTGATTTTATCCCCCAGCATTTTTATAAGCAAGGGGAATGACATGGAGAAGATGCTACTTCCTGCAGACACCACACCATTGGCTAGACCTAGGCGACGCTGAAAGTAGTGGCCCAGGATGACGAGTGATGGCTGAAAGGCGAAGGAGCAGCCACAACCAAAGAGAATCCCATAGGTGAAGTAGCGCAGGCTTAGGGAGCTGTGGGAGAAAACACCAAGAGTTAGCTTCAGCAGTCTGATGGCAATTTACCTGCCTCCCTCCCTTGCCCTTGGAAACCTCCATTCCTCCACCTTTACCCATAGTCCTCCTTGCCACCAATCTGTAGAGCAGATAGGGAACCTCTGAACCCCACTTTGCAGATGGGGATGCAGAGGCCCTGAGAGGTCATTTGCCTAAAGTAACTCCAGATAAAAATGCTTGGCTTTCTATTTTCTTTCTTTCTTTCTTTCTTTCTTTCTTTCTTTCTTTCTTTCTTTCTTTCTTTCTTTCTTTCTTTCTTTCTTTCTTTCTTTCTTTCTT